AGCCTTTTGTCTAAACTTGACGGGATAGGTCACGGTCGCGGGGTCACTTCAACATGCCCTTTTTCGTTAAATTCCGCCAATATAAGGTCGAATTTTCATTAATGGGCATTAGCTGCCTGAGCAATAGGAGTTGATTGTATTTAGCTCATTAAAACAACTATAAGTGGGTTTGAATTAATATTCTCTGATCACCTTCACCACAGTTGAATATTTACTTACACTCGTTACCCAAGGATTAAATGTTTAACTACCAATTCAATCGGACAGTTGGCTGAGAGGATACATATTTAGGCGGCCCTACAAGACATTTTTACCGACTGCCGGGAGTCCGTCTAATGGTTTGAAAATGTATGCTCCTTTCTCACTGCTTGTACTGTCATGATTGACCATGTTTAATTCTACTTCTTGTCCAGCCTATAAAGTGCGTTCTTCGCCGTGATTGGAGTGGTCTTGGCTTCAGTATTGCCGGTGGTCGCGGCCTGTTGGTTCAAAAAGCGGACACTCCTGTAAGTCGCCCCCCTCCTCCCTTTCTTAAGACTGGTAAAAATATCGCTCTGGTGTTTTTACTTCCCTCCCTATACTCTGCGTTCTCTGTATCGTTTTTGTTTGCTTGGCTATACCATTGCTTGCTGACATTGCGAACCTTCCGGAGTGGCGCCAGTACACAAGTACGAGGCAAGTGGCAAGACTAACCAACTCAAGACCACCAGACGCGGCTATTACTTCGTCGTCTTTTTGTTGGACGATGATAAACGCAATACTATAGAGTTTATGTATACAAACCTAACGTGCCCAAGAAGCCGTAGTATTGCCTCGGCCCTCGAATTTTCAGGGGTTTTAGCTTGTGTTCCTGTTGACCCTGATGATGGGTAAAGGTGGCCCTATCTGTACCAGGGTTTTGCCCTATTTGGATGTCCCTACAGACCAATTATTTTAGCACATATCCACGCTTATTCCACGTCCTTGTGCTTATTTCACCCCATTTTATTTATACCTCTTGTTGGCTGAAGTGGCTATTGATTTTCTTTTAACTTATTGCTTACCAGAATAGCACCTTCCTCGAGGTATGTTTTGGTCATCTCTACGTTCATCTCACACTGACCCACTCGGCTTTCTCTCATTCCTGTTTTACTTCGACAGAAAAATTTTATTAGGTCATCATTACACTGAGCAAATTATTATATGCCGCTTTCTACCGCCATATCTCCAATGCTTCGCTCGTTTGTTGTTTGTTATTTAATTCACTAAAAACACCAATTGTCTTTTCTGTAACCCTGGTCGAGTGTCTTTTGTCCTGTACTCCTGTCAGTTGCAAGCTGTCTCTCCCCCCTGTTTTTGGTCCATTTATACCCATTCTGCAACTCGTTTTTTTTTACCTCTTTCAAGTCCTCTCGCTACTTCAATATGTGTGTTCTTCCAATTCTTTCGTATTTTCTCGCATTTTTTGCTGTCATCTCATTCTTGCCCCTTCCAATCTGTCATTTACTTCAACCGTTTTCTGTCCTCTTTTTGGGTGTATCGAGAGGGAGAGAGAAAACTCGGTAAGGATTAGTTATATGGTCCTTAGCACAGGCAACAGGAACCACCTGCGATACGGGGTAGTTTTTCGCCAAATTCGCTAGGACTCAGAGTTAGGCCTTAGGTTTCAATGGGAGTCACGTTTTAGGTTAAGGCAGGCCGTTTTCCCAATTTCCACTCAATACTACAATTTTGATGTGCGTTTTCCTTCCATTTCTGCCAATCCTGACGATTTCCGCAAATCTTCTACTATTCCTTTGTCTTTTTCCATTTCCCGTGCTCATTTCTATCCTATTTTAACAAACGAGGCTATTTAGCCCACATTTTCTCTTTTTGCCATATTTTCTCCTTTACACAGTCTTTGCCAGAGGCAACACACATCTCTTCTATCACCACTTTCCTTTTTATTAGTTATCTTTGGTTGTTTCTCTGGTATTGGGGTTACAGGACCGTTTGTCGTCCAGTAGGCTTCCTTCTTGGCACGCCTTTTTTATCCCCTTCCCCTTCGTCATCCTTGCTTCCTCCTCTGCCGCTCTTTTGTGCCTCCCCTTTGAACCGCCACGAGTCTGTCCTTACGTTTGCTTCCTTTGAGTGCTGCTCCATTTACTCGATGATTTGGTCTCGCCTTCACTCATCTCTACTTCCTTGCTCCGTTCCCGCCCCTCTTTCCCCCAAACCCCTGCAGTCTTCCCTAAGATTTTACCTGGACGCCAAGTCTTCAGCAGTGTGTGTTGTATTGCCATTTCCAAAAGAGTTCGCCCGTTTTTAAACAAAAAGTCATTTGTCGTCTTTTTTGTAAATTTGCCCCGTGTCTAACCTCGGCTTCTTTCTTTTTTATCTCTACCCCCCACGCACACACAGAATATTTATATAAGCCGAATTGTAGAAGGTGGGGCCGCCGCCAAGTCCGGCAACCTGCGCGTCGGTGATCAGTTGATCAAGGTAAGGACCCCCCCATTTTGCCCAGTTCCGCCTTGCTGTGCTGACTCTCTCTCCCCGAACCGCGTCGCATTACTCTCATGGTGTCCCCTGTGCCTTCAGATAAACGGAATCGATGTGAGGAGTGCGCGCCACGACCAGGTCATTACTCTGCTTACCGGATCAGCACCGCAGGTGGAACTGGAATTGCTTCGTCCAATCACCTCGTCTCCATCTCTGTCGCCCAGTTCTCCGCGTTCACCAGGTATCTATTTTGTCCCCCTTTGTTGTCTACACTCATTTTAAAGCATGTAAGTACTGCAAAATTTATTATAACCAAGACATTTTGCGACTGGTTGTTAGCTGCTACCTGTCGTTCGTGTGGGAAAAATTCTTATGGAGAAAAATATATGCCACGTGGGCTAGTCAGTAATATAAGCAATGTAAAACACACCGGGGGGGGGCGTGGGAGCTGGATGTTTCCGTGGCAAAGTTAGGTTAACCGCGTGCCCAAACTGTTTACGTAGGTCGGGTATTAACGGCTGTATATAGGCCGCCTACAGGTAGCGCAATGTACAAGTTGTTCATGCCCGAACAAGTACTCAGAAATATGTTTTGGGGCGCCTAGATTGACCCGTATCAAACAACTGTTTGATAATGCATGAGCGCGGAATTCTTTTTTCTTGCTTTAAACGCCATCTAGGCAGGTGCTGTGTAGACCTGGCTGCCAATTGCCGTTGCGTTCGCCCAATGTACGTGCACCTGCAAGTGTATGTATTTTCATGCAGTACTTGCATGCTTGAAATTCGCACCAGAGAAAAAATGCTTCAAATGTCTGGTTGATCCAAAGTAGGGAGATGGGTGTCTGGTACA